GCTCAGATTAATGGTACTCTTGACTGAGGTGGGGAATTCCAGCTGAAATAGTGTCTTCCCGTTGATGAGACAAGTAAAATGATGAGTTTGAGTGGGAGAAGAGAAAAGAAATAAGGTACATCAATAGGGGCTGACCAGACTTGTTTGTAAACCCACCCACTGAAGATTAGAACATAAATAGATGGGGTGGGGAGAAATTTGTCCAAGTTTCTCATTCCATGGTTTTTGGTTTCAGTGCCTTTATCTGTCTATCTATCTATCTACCTATCTATCTATATATCTACCTATCATCTAAAATTTTATTTTTAAAGTCTTATATTAAAAGACTGACAGATATTATTAAAAAGAGGTCTTTGAATTTTGTGGAACCAACTGATATACACAGTCAACATGCCATGTGTAGAGTGGGAAAATCAGGGAAGCAATACAATGTGCATGGCGTACCTTGCAAACCAGGTTAGTTAGCATGTGCTGTTCCTTATACATACAAATATTTTGTCTTGTAATGTCCTAGATAATTACAGTTAAAACTGATTGAAACATACATGTAACCAAAGGGCCTGGCAGTCTGAACATATACTGGTACTGAGACAGGTTTGGACATGCGTGATCAAGTAATGGTGACATGGGCTTCCAGGAGGCAGTTTTCATGAAGCAGTTTGGTGTTGCCCTTAAACTCTGACAAAAACAGTGTAGGGGAAAAAAGGTGGCCTCAAAGTGCTAAACACGAGGAGAAATCCCTAGTCATTGTAACAATCGAAATATCTCCTCACAGATTCCCAAATGCCTCCTTGAAGAAACTTTTATTTCTCCTTTATTCTACATATCCAGCTCTCTTAAGAGACAATGTGTAAATCTATGGTGTTTAAAGATTGCTCAATATGGTGATAGTTAATACTTATTGAGCACCTATTCTATGCCACCATTGTGCTAAGCCCAACACCTACATTATTTCATTTATTTCTCTCAGAAAACTTTAAATTTCATGCCATTATTTTATTCATCTTACAGTTGAGTAAACTAAGGTTACAAATGTGGGGTAAATTGCTTAAATTCACACAGCTGGCAAGTGTTTAGTGTTTACATCTGAATACTGGATATCAGAGTGCATAACCTGTAAAACGATCTTTAAAGGACAATATACTTCACTTAACATCAGTGGGGAAGATAAGGGCTGAAAAGGGAAAAGCATCAGAGCATTCCTTTCAGATGTTCCTTGAGTATACATACACCTTTACCAAAACACATGCTTTTAATATGAGCTGGGGATACTCTGCTGGTTTGAGCTTCAGGAAACCAGTAGAGCATTGAAGTTATGAGAGCAGAACTGGAATATAACAGATTCTATTCAAATTCTGGCTCTTCTTGATTTTAGGCAAAGTTATTCAAACTGCTTTGCTTTCATTTTTTTTTTTCACCTGTGAACCTAGTAAGGGAGAGAAAACTTAAACTAGTGGGAAAACTATGACTGAAAGTCACAGCCCTGAGACATAGGACCTTAAAAGGCTGAGACTTAATTGGAAGATTATAGAATGCTCCCTCTCCTCCACGTCTTACCACCATTCCAACAGCACTCTGGTATAACAGGGTGGATTACAGCTGAAAGAGCTGCAAGCCATTCTCCCTGAGGTGAATTTAGGGAATCTCAAATAAAGAGGGGAGACAAAAATCAAAGACATTAAGGGAATTTGAGGTCTCTGACACATAACTACAGCAAACATTAAGCACAGCTGAACTTCTAGCACAGTTAACATAAATTCTCACATTAAAGTTTATTTACCTCAGTTCCTATTACCCAATTACAATATGTCCAACTTTCAACAACAACAACAAAAAGACTTAAAGGCATGGCACAAAATAAGAAACATACAATTTGAAGAGACAGAGTGATAATCAAAACCAGACTCAGATATGGCACAGATAATGGAATTATCAGATAGAATTTTAAATAACCATGATTAATATGGTAAGGTCTCTAATGGAAAAAGTAGAGAACATGCAAGAATGGACGTATAATGTAAACAGAGAGATGAGAACTCTAAGAATCAAAAGGAAATGCTAGAAAGCAAAAGCATTATAACAGAAATGAAGAATGCCTAAGATGGACGCATCAGTAGATTCAACATGGCTGATGAAAAAATACGAGAGCTCAAGTGTAGATCAACAGAAAGTCCTCATTTTGAAATGCAAAGAGAAAAAAGAATGGGGAAAAAACCCAGAACAGAACATCCAATAACACTGAGACAACTTCAAAAGGTATAACACAAGTATAAAGAGAATACCAGAAAGAGAAGAAAGAGAGAATGGAACTGAAGAACTGTTATAATAATAATGGTAATATTAAGGTAATGATGGTGAATTTTCTGAAATTGGTGGCAGACACCAAAACAGGAAGCTTAGAGAACACCAGGAGGTAAATACAAACAAACAAACAAAATTATCTAGGTATATTCTATTCACACTTCTTTAGAAAATTATGACAAAGAAAAATCTTGAAAGAAACCAGAGGAAAAGAGCATCTCCATATAGAGAAACAAAGCTAAGAATTACAACGGACTTCTCATCTGAAACTATGCAAGCAAGAAGTGATATTTAGTTATTGAAAGAAGGAAAAAAATTGAGTATTCTATATCCAACAAATTCACTCAACCCGGAAGGAGAAAAAAAATTTCTCAGTGAAACAAAAACTGAGGGAATTTTCAGCAGACCTCTCTGCAGGAAATATTAAAATTAATTTTTTAAAAAAAATTTATTTAATTAATTAATTTATTTTTGGCTGCATTGGGTCTTTGTTGCTGCATTTGGGCTTTCTCTAGTTGCGGCGAGCAGGGGTTACTCTGCATTCCAGTGTGTGGGCTTCTCATCATGGTGGGTTCCCTTATTGTAGAGTGTAGGCTTCAGTAGTTGTGGCACATGGGCTCAGTAGTTGTGGCTCACAGGCTTAGTTTCTCTGTGACATGTGGAATCTTCCCAGACCAGGCTCGAACTAATGTCCCCTGCATCGGCAGGCAGAGTCTTAACCACTGTACCACCAGGGAAGTCCTAAAAGAAATTCTTTAGGAAGAAGAAAAATAATATAGATCAAAAACTATGATCTACATAAAGAAAGAAAGACAATTGGAGAAGGAAAAAAAATGAAGGTAAAATAAAATCTTTTATTAAATGATCAAAAAAAAACCTGCTTGTTTTTACAATGCAATAGTAAATAGTTTTTACAGTAATAGTAAAAATATATTGGGTGACTATTACATATGAATAAATGAAATAAATTACAACAATGTTAGAAGAGACAGGAGGAAGGAATTGGAAATAATTAATTATGATACCTGCACTAGATAATAAAGTGGAATAGGTCATTTGAAGTTTGACTTAGATTAATTTAAAATGGATACTGTAAGCTCTAGAGCAACCACTAAGTTAAAAACAAAAAGTTTAACTGATACTAAGAAAATATAATGAAGTCATATAAAATTCTTAATTAAAACCATAGAAGGTAGGAAAAGAGGGGTTAAAAAAAACAAACAAGAAAAAGAAGCAATGGATAGAAAAGAGTTGCAAACGTAGTAAATATAAATTCAAATACACATAATTACTTTAAGACTTAAATGACAGAGACTGTTAGTGTGGATAAAAAACAACACCCAGCTATGTGTCACCTAAAAGAAGCACTATTTAACCATAAAGACTTGTGTTAAAAATATATAGGTGGAATATATATGCCATGTTAACCCTAATGTTTGAGAAATGCTAAAGTAGCTATATTCATTTCAGACAAAATAGACTTCACAACAAAGAAGGGATAAAGAAGGGCATTAAATAATGATAATGTGGTCAATTCTCCTGAAGACATAACAACACTAACAAGAGTGTGTGAAACTACATGAGGGAGAACTGGGTGAAACTAAAAGGAGAACTAGACAAATGCACTATTGCAACTGGAAATTTCAATATCTCTCTGTAAGTAAATGACAGATAAAGGAGGCAGAGAATCAGGATATTAACAACCTAAACATCACTATTTTTAACTTTACCTAATTGGCATTAATAGAATATTCCATTCAACAACAGCAGAATACACATTCTTTTCAAGCTCGTGTGGTGCATTCCCCAAGATAAATTGCATTCTGAATGTATATTATGGTAATATAGACCTTAACAACTGTAAAAAATAGAAATTACAGAAGATATATATTTTAGACCACTATAGAATTAAATTAGAAATCAATAACATAAAGATAACCGGAAAATTCCCAAATATTTGGAAATTAAGCAACACACTTTAAATAACACATTCATCAAAGAATAAGTCTCAAAAGAAATTTTTCAAAATTGAAGTAAATGAAAATAGAAATACAACTATTAAAATTGGTGGGATGCAGCAAAAGCAATGCTGCATCCCACCAATTAGGGAAATTTATAGTATTAAATGCATGCATTTAAAAAAAAAGAAAATCAAACATCAATAATTTAAGCTCCCACCTTAGGAAACTACACAAAAAAGGGCAAATTTAGCCTAAAATAGGCAAAGGAAATAATATAAAAAGTATAGGAGAAAATAATGGAGAAAATTAATGAACCCAAAAGCTGGTTATTTGAAAATATCAATAAAACTTATGAATCCAGCCAGCCTAATCAAGAAAAAAAAAAAGAGAGAAGACATAAATTGCTAATATCAGAAATGAAAGCGGGGTTATCATTACTGAGTCCATGGAAATTCAAGGAATAATGGAATAATATGAACAATCTGTTATGTTCATACATTTGAAAACTTAAATATATGGACCAATTTCTTGAAAGCCAAATCTATAAAAACTTACAAAAGAAGATATAAATAACTTTAATAGCCCTATATTTATTAAGAAAATTTAATTGATAATTTAAAACCTTCCAAAATGCAAAACACCAGGTTCAGAGGATTTCACTGGTGAATTCTACTAAATATTTAAAAAAGAAATTAGCTCTCTGCTCCTCTCCGTTTGACAGACGTATCTTTCTTGCAGTGCCAGCTGTGTCCCTGAGACAAGATGGTGAAGGTGGGAGTGAACGGATTTGGCCGTATCAGGAGCCTGGTCACCAGGGCTGCTTTTAACTCTGGCAAAGTGAACATTGTCTCCATCAACGACCCCTTCGTTGACCTTCATTACATGGTCTTCATGTTCCAGTATGATTCCATGGCAAGTTCCATGGCAGTCAAGGCCGAGAACGGGAAGCTTTCATCAATGGAAAGGCCATCTTCCAGGAGCGAGATCCCGCCAACATCAAATGGGGTGATGTTGGTGCTGAGTATGTGGTGGAGTCCACTGGTGTCTTCACTACCATGGAGGAGGCTGGGGCCCACTTGAAGGGTGGAGCCTAGAGGGTCATCATTTCTGCCCCTACTGCTGATGCCCCCAGGTTTGTGATGGGCATGAACCATGAGAAGTATGACAACCACCTCAAGATTGTCAGCAATGCCTCCTGCACCGCCAACTGATTGGCCCCCCAGCCAATATCATCCATGACCACTTCAGCATCGTAGAGGGATGGGCTACATCCTGGGCTACACTGAGGACCAGATTTTCTCCTGTGACTTCAACAGTGACACTCACTCTTCTACCTTCGATGCTGGGGCTGGCATTGTCCTCAACGATCATTTGTCAAGCTCATTTCCTGGTAGGAAAATGAATTTGGCTACAGCAACAGGGTGGTGGACCTCAGGGTCCACATGGCCTCCAAGGAGTAAGAGTCCCTGGGCCACCAGTCCCAGCAAGAGCATGAGAAGAAGAGAGGTTCTCAGCTGCTGGGCAGTCCTTGCCCCAGCTCCATCCACCAACACATTGAGAATTTCCCAACCTCCGCACAGTTTCCATCCCAGACCCCCTGAAGAAGGGGAGGGGCTTAGGGAGCCCTACCTTGTCTTGTCATGTACCATCAATAAAGTATACTGTATGCAGAAAAAAAGAAAGAAGTTATATCAAATAATACCATACTTCACAATCTCTTCCTGAAAACAAAAACAGAAGGAACACTTCCTAGCTCAATCTATGAGGCAAGACATTGCCTTTGATGAAGATTCTTTGCTTGAGCAAACTTAAGTCAGGCTCCTGAACCTTCTCCTAAGCCTATTTGTACACTTCTCTATAAAATCCAGTTCTAGCAAGAACCCTGCTAAGTCACTTTAACCAGAACTCCCCCACCCTTGAAGTCTGATTACCAATTTTAAGACTACTATAAAGCCATAGTAATTGGTGAAAGAATGGCCATATACATCAATGGAACAGAATAGAGAGGCCAGAAATAGATCACACAACTGTAGTAAATTAGTTTTTGATAAGGATGCAACGATAACTCATTGGAGAAGGAAAGTATTTTCAATAAATGGTGCTGGAGCAATTGGACAACTATATGCTGAAAATTAACCTAGATCTTATGTCACACAAAAAATTAGCTCAATATGGACTGCTGATCTAAATATAAAATGCAAACTATGAATTTTCTAGAAGAAAACAAAAGAAAGTATATGTGGCCTTGAATTTAAGAAGTTTTTAGATATAACACCAAAATTACAGTCCGTGAAAGAAAAATTTTGATTAAGTTGGGCTTTATAAAATTTAGAAACTTCTGCATTGTGACATGCTTTGGTAAGAGAATGAAAAGACAAACTACAGCCTTGGAGAGAATATTTGTAAAAAGTATATCTGATAATGTACTTGTGTCCAAAATACAGGGAAAAAAATTTAGAACTCAATAAGAAAACAACCCAATTAAAAGATGTTTAAAATATCTGAATAGACACCTCACCAAAGAAGATATGCATATAACAAGAAAGCATATAAAAAGATGGTCAACATCATATGTCATCAGGGAATTGCAAATGAAACCATAATGATATACCAACGCACCATGTTAAAGTAGCTAAAATCCAAAAGAACTGCTGGTGGAAAGGCAAAATAATACAGCCACGTTGGAAGACAGTATACCAGTTTCTTTCAACGCTGAACCTAGTCTTACCATACATTTCAGCAATCACACTTCCAGGTATCAATCCAACTGATTTGAAAACTTTTATCTACACAGAATTCTGCACGCCAATGTTTTCAGCAGTTTTATTTATAATTACCAAATCCTGAAAGTAACCAAGGATTACTTCAGTAGGTAAAATGATAAATAAACTATGGTACATTCATCCAATGGAATGTATATTCAGTGATAAAAAGGAATGAGCTATCAAACCATGTGAAAACATAGATGACTTTTAAATAACAAGTTGTTAAACGAATGGAAACCAGTCTTGAAAATTCCCTGCTCAGAAAAAAACAGTTTAGTCATACAAACCAAGCTTAATTTAGCTTCGTTTGCAAGACTAACTTGACTTGGATCATTTCTCATTATGCCTCTGGAAATCATAAGAAAAATTTAGATATCTGGAATAAATAGATATATATGTATGTGTAACTGAATCTCTTTGCTGTGCACCTGAAACTAACACAATGTTGTAAATCAACTATACTTCAATAAAAAAGAAAGAAAAATTTAAGCTGCTTCCCAAAATGGATATGAGGTAATCACTAACCAATTCCCTATCATTTAAGAAAATTCTAATATTATAATCAATCACTGTGAAGAATAAACAGTCACTGCTTCCCGCTGTGTAAACTGCTTTGTAACAGTATATACTGAGCCTCGCTCCATGTATTGGTTTGCGCGCTCTTGGTTCATGAATTGTTTTTGTTGTGTGTGCAAAATAAACTTACTAATTACTACTTCTGTGATTCATTGGTTTTACTTCTGTTATTTATGAACTGTTGACGAAATTAAAGAAGGAAGTTTATATAGAAAAGGTTTCATCATTGATGACTCATTTATATGACATTTTAGAATAGGCAAAATTGTAGAGGCAGTAAATAGAACAGCTGCTGCAGGAGTTTGGGGAAGAGGGGCTGAATAATTGAAGCCCACAGGATTATTTAGAGTAGTGAGACTATTTTTGTAACACTGTAATGGTGGATGCCTGGCACTCTACATTTGTCGAAACCCACAGAGCAGTTTGGCACAAAGTGTGGACCTTAATGTATGCAAAAAAAAATCATTCAGGAGGTTGGGGGTTTCCTGAGATAGAATGAAAAAATGTGACACAAGACTCTTAACTGTATTAAAAATGTATGACATACCCTCACTGAATGGAGTGAGCGGAAGCGTGTTGCCCTAAGTAACTTGGGAAATGAAGGGAAGCTGTGAGTAAAGACAAAGGAACTACACAGAAGCACTGTGTTCTAGTTAATAAAGTTGTTTTCCATGAGGGTGCAGATTAACAATTCTGAAAGCACTATATATGTATACTGGAATTGAACAAATAGGTAAATGGATGGTGTTTCTCACTTTGAAGTGGGAGTTTATAGACGTGCAAGGGAAAAGGCTAGAATGATCCATTTGGTAATGGATTAGAGTTGGAGACATCAGTATGAATTCATGTTTAGATTAACATAGATAAAGATAGTTACATACAGGGATAATTATAGATGTGTATATATACCTGGACAAGTATATACACATATATTTCCATACTCTTTCATCTCTCAGGGCCTAAAAAAACCCTTCAGTAGCAACAAGCACATCTAACACCCAGATCTTGGTTTCTAATACTATTCTTCAGTAAAAGGAACCAGAGCTCTTTGGAGAAATGACTGATTCTAGGGCTGGGGCAGGGAATATACAAGGTGAGTTAACTGACAGAGCTCTCAATGACTCAAGTGGAAATTATTTGAACAAATAAATAAAGTAATAGATTATAATCCAAAGTATAAAATAAATTTTCATGAGTCTATAAGTGATTGAAAAAATAAATACTTGGGAGAGAATAGACAAATCTGTTCAGATATATTTCAAATAATTTATGTAGATATACCACTGATGATGAACGGGAATACAATCCTCCACTTCTTCAATGTGGATCTGGCATACTGATTACTCTCCAAATAGTGTTAGAAACACCACTTCAGCCAGACGATCAAGGTTAACATCCACAGTGATGGGTCATGTTGATAGTATGTACCCAATAGATGATGTGATAATAATAGTACTTTACATCTGTGTTCTCTCCCTAAGCCCATTGTCCCAGTCTAATTCTGAGAAATACATCAGACAAATCCCAACTGAGGGACATTCAACAAGCTACCTGACCAGTATTCCTCAAAACTCAAGGTCATCAAGGACAAGAAAAGTATGAGGAACTGTAACATCCAAGAGGAGACTAAGAAGACATGACAACTAAATGGATTGTTATATCCTAGAAAAAGGAAAAAAGGATATTAGGTAAAAACTAAGAAAATCTGAATAAATTGTAAACGTTAGTTAATAATAATTCATCAACATTAGTTCATTAATTACGACAAATGTACCATACTAATGTTGGATATAAATATAGAAGAAACTGAGTCCAAAATCTTTCTACACAATTTTAAAATCCAAAATTTCTTAAAAAAATGTTTTTAAGATTTAGAATAATTTCATTTGGTGGCAAAACATTACCTGTTTATCATCTTCATTTATCCCACTTTAGTGTAAATACTTATATATTTTAATTTGGAAATATTATTGTCTGATTGCAGTGTCCTGCTCTAAGCCCTTCCAGAGGGGTTACAAAATATATGGCATATGTATCTTATTGCCTTTCTATAATCCAAAATATTTGGACTTCCAGAACTTATTTGTCCCCGAGGGTTTTGGTCAGTAATTATAAATTTTCAGGGTCTATTCCATTACATTGTGTGAGAATCATACAAGATAATTCACATGATAGACTTAATCCAGTACCTGCCACATAATATACATCCAGTAATAATTTACAATTGTTATCATAGTTGCATTTTCTAACATTCCGTGAATTAAACAAATTTTCTTCTCTGTAGCCTGAAATCCTAGGTGGTCTCAGCTCTTTGGAAACTTTGGAGGAGATCTGGTGCCTAAAACCAAGAAACATACTTTGCCAATGAGGACCCATTCCCACAATTATATATACCTTCATTATGTGGACATCAGACAGATATCGGCTTGTGTCCATGAAATTTAAGCCTCCTTGCCATTGATCAGATCTGTGTAATAATGCGATCGATTAGTTGCACTGTGCTGAGCTGAAAGATGTCCCAACACTGTGGCTTAATTTCCAGCTCACAAATTATGCTTTCTTCACAGATTTTAATATGCTTTCACATGTCCTAATCCTAAATCTGTGAGGTAAAACACATGTCATCATGGTCTCTCTGCTCTTGTTTTTAGTGATATAATTGTGTCCTAACAGCTCTTCTTTCCCACAAGAGTTATAAGTGAATAGAAAGCAGAATGAATCCATCTCGAGATCATCACCTTGTTTTGGTGGTGATCCAGGTGGCACCAGATTTATTTTCATTTAGAGATAACCAAACACAGTGAGGACATACACATTGTTGTCCATTTTTGGAACCTGACTCAGATGCTTCCTTTGCTTCCTGTTTGGAAGCCCTGGTGGTCAGGGGGACTTGATATTGACCCAACACCCACACTTATCATCCAGTTGCCAAGAGTGGCCTGACTAGGGGACAGATTTTCCACATGTTTTTGACTGAACGTGGCAGTCCTGGTGTGCATGATTCTTCCTGCTCTGAAAACAAAATTCCTTTATTATGACTCTCTTTTCTTTCTTCCTTTGTGCTGATTGCCTTTTCACTATTTTCTCTGGTTTGCTATCTTTCCCTTGTTATTAAGTCACATTTTGACTTTAGGGCTCCCTCCATTCGGGAGTGAGCCCCCTTCAATATTTTCTTTTGAGAGAAGACGTTCTCTGGGAAATAAGGGTGGGTGTTGACCTTATTTCTTAAAGACTGGTTAATTAGAGAAGGTCTAATTTTCTAATTGAGAAACTGTGCCCTTCAGACAGTTTTAAATGAATTATACAATTTTTTATTGTATTGGCTATACATGTGTATTACAGTAATAGAGAAGTTATTCACCTGGAAGACCAATCGCATGTCCATGTCTGCAATGTGAGGCCACAATGGTTTTAGTAAGTTGTACATGGAAACAGAGGAAGGAGCAACTACATGGATTGCTTTTAGTCCAATGACCATAACTCCTCCTTCTCTATGCCTCTTAAGCCCCTCCTCTATTCGATAGGTGGGAGCCTGACATTTTACTCAGTAGAACTTTAACCTAGGGCTTTGACACCTGTTATAAGTTATGTATTATTTAGAGTGAATGTGAATCTGAAAGTAAGCTTTAAAAAGTAGAGGAAAGAGGAAGTAAGAAGACATGGGGGCCTGAGTTGGTAGAGGTGGCATTGCCAAGAGTGAGGGAGGAGGTGATGGAAGGAAAGTTGGGGACGTAAATACCTGACTGCTTATTTTAAAACATGATGTCAGTCTACACTTCTGAATTTACCTTTGTTATCTGGCAAGCTTTATTTTTCTCCCACTTTCAGCTAAAAAAAAAAAGTATCTGTAAGCCATCCCAACAAGATCTGTTTCTGAAAGCACAGATTATTGCCTTTAAAGAGAAAAAAAATAAAAATAAAAAAGACCATTACACTTGTAAGTGGCCTGAAAGTCTTCAATGTATTCAAAATTGTACCAGTAACTAAACCTGGGTCTAGACTTCAAATATGTGGACTGTTGACTATTATCAGTTTGGGTACATCTGGAGCTGCTTCAGTGATTTGCTATGATTATTCATTATTTTCTCTCTGTTCCCTTTTGGGTACAAAGAGGATCTTAGCTTTTTCCCTGTCTTTGATCTTAGTCTCCTCTGCAAATAAGACTACATGTGAAAAAAAAAAAAAGAATTTCTGTAAAAGAAAGAGTTGCCATCACTGCTAAAATCACATAAATAGTTAAATTAAAAATTCAGTCAATTATCCAGATAATTCATGTGAAGGAGCACTTTAGCCTTTGAAATTATTAGGTTAATGGCCATGGTTCTTTTCATTTTCCAAGAATAGATAAATTGTGGTGCCTGTTATAAAACTTTAATGCTCTTTTTTCAAATTTAACATTTCCTGTCAAAAGATTTTAGTTATGGATTAAAAAAGTCATACACCAAACCATATGATAAATTAAATTTGGTGATTTAAAAACTGAAATGTTGCTGTGATGGACAGATTGTTTAACAGGAAGATAAGATTTTGCCAACGCAAGAGAGAGGTCCCATGAGCATCTTTTTGGAAGCAAAGCATCTGTTCAGTTGGTTTATTTTTCTTCTTTTTAGATCTACCAAAAAGTAACTTTTTCAAGTGAAGTTCCAAGAGAGCTCTTAAAGGTCCACATCTCTGTTCATTTGTCCTTTGGAATTTCTGTTAATTTTTAGAGGGGATTCAGAATGGTCTATAAAAAACATTTTTCAGTTTTAATTATTGTAAAAAATTCAAATGCCAAGATTAGCCCCCTTTGCTGCCACCTGTTGTTCTACCAAGGAAATGACTCACTGGTAATACTTTTTTTTTTAACCTAAATTACTCATCAAAATCATTATTTCCAATATTAAGATGAGATTCTATTCTTGATACTTTTTTCTACAGGAAATCTTTTCATCTCTAACAGTTGGGGAAACAGGTTTTCAAGTACTCAGTCATGACCATGCAGAGACTTAGATTTTCCTCTTGGCATACGCAGTAGACATTTGAGAAGGTTGAATAGACAAAGAACAAAGAAAGCCTGATTCCTAAACAAGCTCATCATACCCAAAAGAGCTTGTAAGCTAGTCTTTGTAAAGTAAAAGTGTTTAATTTAATGGCAGC